CTAAATTTTGAGTAAGTAAAAGGTTGGGTAAATGAAAAACAAAACAACTCAAGGGTTGGGTAATAAAAAATTATTGTCATTTCCAAAGCATGACTCACTGAAGTATTGGGGACTAAAAAGCAATGGCAACAGTAGGCCCTACTCCGGGGCGATAACGAGATAATGCAAGTTTAAGCAAATTTAGGTGATTTAAGCAAAATCTGCAATTTAAGCTATGCGAGTTTGAGCGATATAGGGCAATGTAAGAGAACAATTAAAATTTTAGGGAATGCTGTTTTAGGTGTTTAGAGGTAATTTCAGGAATATACAACTATATCCCTGATGACTCCAATGAAATTACCATTAACCTACGCCAAGCATCCAAACATAGTGTTCCCACAAACACACACACATGCAGTGTATGAAGCAAAATATACAATTTAACAAAAAAAGTTGAAGTCTGCTTGAGGGGGTTCTGGAAACAAACAACACACTGTATGCGCATGACGATCAAGTGTTTAAAGGGTAAATAAGTTCAATATTCATGACGTTTTCCATCCATTGTCTATTTCGAAGCCATTGGGGTATTATTAAATCCATGACACAACTATAATACATGACCACATGTTCACATCATATGCAATTGCAAACAATTTTCAAAGGAGTAGGGTACAGAATTGCAATATAACAACAAAAAAATAAATTATACATGTCATGAACTTACCAGTTTGTGTTGAGTTAAATTTAAAAATCAAATCATTTTAAAATTCTCGTGTTTTGTTTTGTATTGCGCCCGCGATATATTAATGGTATTAACCGCTGTGAATATGATATACATTTTTAATACATTACATTTGCGCTCAAAAGTTCAGGAAGTGAGTTTCTAGAAAGGATGAAAACTCCGTTTTATATATGGTATGTAAAAGGTAATCGTTGTTTACTGTTTATTTTGTATTCATGTATGGGGAATTTAAGCGATGAGAGTTGCAAAACTTGCAAATGTAGTCTGACTAGTTTCTTTGACGTCATCATGCAACTATTTAATATTGTGCTACGTTCATTATTCAATTTATTCACGGCAATTAGCCTTCTATAAGCCATACAAATGATTATAGCTTATAGCCCACCTTGCCTTTAACATTGATCCTATATATAATGAATTAACATAACTAACTTGATTATGTTGCTAGTCGAGTATGGGACCTATGGTTCTTCTAGGACCTTCTAGATCCTAGAGTAGCACAATTAATATAAAGTCTCCGTAAGGCGGTAATATTAAAGACTGTTCTTATTTATGCATGACCTTTGACTATTAAGTGGCCAAAAATTGTGCCTACACTAATCAACTTATTCCACTATCGAGGTTGCATCACTTTTCATTGCAAAACACCTGGGTTTATTATACATGGATTTGCTAGCAAAATAGCAGCAATTGATGAACTTGGTGTTATACTAAGATTTACTAAATGTGTAAAGAAACAACGAAAAGTATATATCAATCAGAGTCATTATCTTGATCATTTTCAGTTTTGGGATCTCCAAAGAAAGTAGCTACATGTGCAGATAACATGAAACTTCAGACTGCAGAAAATTTCACAATCCATTATCAAACTTATGTCACAGAAGTGGTAAAGGACATATGTGACAACTGAATAGTACCTTTTGTAAATTTTTTGGCCAGGGGTGGGTATTTATTTTTTAATTGATATTTGAGGTTGGGTAATCAATTTTGTTTACTTTTTAATGGTTGGGTCAGCAAAATTTTTGCTACGAAAAACATTTCTCTTCGGTGCCACCCCCCGCCATAAATAATGACCGGTCCCTAATAAGATTACGATTTTCGCCTGGTTCATCTATCGCAAGGTACATAGTTATATACAAACAAATATTAGAATTGGAAACAAAAACCAAAATTGCACAATCATCTACTCACAGGATCTTGAAAGGTTTGAATACATCACAAAATAGCATACCGGTATTGAATTACAGAAGTGGCATCATCCTAATGCCATATAATCCTCATTCCTCAACAATTTTCTTTGACCAGAGAAGACTTAGAACACTAGCTGACAAAGCAATCATAATTAATCATACCACTACAGTACCTGAGAAGCAGTAGATCGTGCATGTAAGGGCAGTGAGTTCTGGTAACCAAAATCTGTAAAATCAACTTCTTCATTTGCTGGCACACATTTGAAACTAAAATAAGAAACGAAGCAATTAAAGTGCTTATGAAACGAAATTTTCACCTCATTTTTTATTGTTTTGCTAAAAAGTACTGCTAGAGCGATGAAGAATGACGTTTACAGTTTCTTCATATCTCATTCTCAAGTTATCGCACTTTCTATGTTTTGAGTTGAGACGTCACTAGTTTGACTTGAGATAATGGTAATAACAAGAAAGTCTGATATCTTAGTGAGTATTTAATAAAATTTAATGAAACTCGGTGCACTTAGTGGGTGCACCATATAAATATTTTTGGCAGGTTATGTGGTTGTCATGGTAACACACTAGTCCCCAGTCTTTTCTCTTCCTCACAAATTTCCTTTTCATAAGACAATAAAAAATGAGACAAAAATTTCGTTTCATAAGCACTGACCTAACTGCCATAAATTCAATTTCAGTTAAGATTTTCACAAGCAGCTTGAGATTAAAATTACAAATTAACCCAATGAATGCATGCATGATGGCAGCACTCTCCCCTTGACAAGTAAAATTGTCTGGCATATAGATAGAGAGTAAAATAGTAAAGTAGGGCACATCAGCCAGGGCACATGCATTGCCACTTAAAGGGTTAAAAAGGATTTTTGCCATGTTCAATGAAATTAACATTAATTTGCAAAGTTAACAAGGAATTAAAAAGGTCATATTCATTCAGACATTAACTAAATACAATTGTTTAATATTTGCCAACTATAGTATTTCTTGACTGCAAGCAATCCCTCTATTTCCCTTCATTTTATTGTTTCCCTCTGCCATTTCCCGCGCTTTCAGTCCGGGTTAGTATTTCCAAAACATACTCATAGCTACGATTCAGACCATGTGCAGCCATTTGTTATAATAATTGTGTGAAAACAAAGAAAACGGAACACTCGCATTAAAATTTAAGATAATAAACATATTTATTAATATCAAATGATTAATAGCTGTTACCTTCTATTGGTCAGAAGTGTATAAATAACTTGGATGAATAACTGTGCAGCACCTGGCTTACAATGAATAACACCATCAACTAGCTCTTTGGGAATGTCAAATGACTCCTTTTGAAAAAACTAAATTAGAAATGATTCAAATGTAATTTATGCTATGGTAATAATTAATTTAAATGCCCCCTTGTCTGACTTCTTAAAATTCAAGATCATCACCCATTAGACATGGTAAGGCAGAAAGAATCTTTAGTTATAGTGGGTACAAGCAAAAGTAAAATTATAATTATAGCTGTATCATTAAGAAAATTAAGGATGTGTGACAGTCTCTTCTATGCATGCACACACTCGTAATAATACTATTCAGCTCGTAATACAAACAGTTTAACTTGGTTTATTTATATTATTGCAAAGCTTGATCATGGCACTCTAATTTATTTTGTTCTCAAAACACTTTGTTTACAAAGTTCATTATTTGGATAAAAAATGTGAACAATGCAAAGCTGAAAGCTGCACTGCATTTTGTTTCCTAATAAAGTCTTTATTATTGGATTGAGTGTACAATATAGTTTGTACCCTTGTGAGCTGTGACCAATTGCCAAGTTTTGCTTCCAAGGATGTTCCATTTACATAGGAATGCATAGTTATTTCTTGAGGATAATACCAAGAAAATATTTCTGCTATTAGATATCCATTGGAAAAGTCTCTGAAAATTAGATTAAAAATACAGTAACAATCATACAACCAGACCCTGTAGTGACGTACAGTAGCTGTAAAGGCCCATTTCCACTCAAGAAGATTTTCCATGGACAGAAAATTTTTCCAAAATATCATTGTGTTAAAAGTTGAAAATTTTAAACTTCAAAATTTTTTTCTGACAGAAAATTTGTGTCGGCAAATCACATTTTCCTGAGTGGAAATGGGCCTTAACAATGATATTTTCAGAACATTTTCTGTCCTATATAGCATTGATTCAAGGACATTCAAAGCCTTGAATTTTTGTTTTCAAATTCAAGGACATTCAAGTTTTGTACGAACCCTGGGTCAAGGTATCGTAAAAGGCAGCTCGATCACACAGCCTGGCACTTCTCGACAAGATCTGAAGATCTAGGGTGCGCAAATGACTGTTAGAAAATCGAAGTGCAGGTGCGCAATTTAACAGTTCCCAAGTGCGCATCGAGATGCAATGTTAAAAGCCAGATAATGTTAAAAACAATGAAAATTTGAGATTTGAAGACAATCTCATACCCAGAGCCATCGTTGGGTACGAGATTGATTTGAGGACAGATTAAATATAATGTACACCCCAGGCCCAGGTGCGCTGAAATTTCGGTTATCGTTCCATGTTTCGCGCACCAATATAAGTTAGGGTTAGGGGTTAGGTATTAGGGTTAGGTTAGGGGTTAGGTTTAAGGTTAGGGATAGGGTTAGAGTGTGTATATATGTATATGGAGGTATCCAGTTAACTTTTCAGTACACTATAATATCCATTACATAACGTTTACTATATTGGTGCGCGAAACATGGAACGATTACCGAAATTTCTGCCTAAAAATCGAGTGCGACGACGACGTTGACCAACTAGAGCTCCAGTCTGGGATATCACTAATTGTAATAAAAAAATAATAAGAGATTTTGAGATCTACATGTTAAAGATATTTTGCGGCAAACGATTCAATCCATTCAAATGAAAGCTTCATCCCTCATGCTTCACGAGACACGAGAACCATGATAGAAATGACTATAAATCATGCATTGAAACGTACCTTTTACTATTCCTTACAGGATGGCTAAGGTCTAAGCTTTGAATCCATTTTAAAATATCACGCTGTAGGCCACTCATTTTCCCTTTTCTTTCTTATTTTCTCATTGACTTTTCTTTTCCACGATTTTGTTGGCATGATTCTTTCTTGTTGCTAAGCATAATTTTTTCACAGCTGTTGCTAAGGTGAGCCCGCGTTTCATACAACTGAGAAATTGAGTGCTTCATGTAACATTTGGCAACTAATTGCTTCTTGGTACGTTTTAATATTAAGGGAGTTTATAATTACTATTTTTAGACTTTTAGGATTTAGATTAGGGAAAGGTTAGGATGAATGAATGAATGATAATATTCATTCAGGAAACCAACATCACAAGAAGTGTTTTTCAGATGGTTCCTGCACAACATTAAAATACAAAGTATAGAAAATATATATAGTGTGCGTGTAGTATTTACATATTGGTATATATGGATATATATGATATACCAGAAAAATTATGAGACTATAGGATACATGATGCTATACATATTTACAAGGATACAAAGAGTTATTAAGTTATATTTTAAATATACTGTATGAGTATTATAAAGATAGAGATTTGAGAAGTTCATTCCTAAAGGTTCCTAATTGTTCAATGGATCTAGTATTATAGTTCAAATCGTTGTACTCTTTACAAGCCTGGTAAAGCAGCTTTTGCTTTCCCCAGTTTGTCTTCTGCTTACAGAGGTGTATATCA